AATGTCGAATGTGGTTTCTTACACAGACTCAAAAAAATTACAATTTATTATACACATAATTGGTTAGTTGAAAATACATGAATGAAATTAAATCCATTGTTTTCCTATCACTTGCGTGAGGTTGCATGCCCATAAAAAAAAAAATTAGTTTTTTTTTTAAAGTATTATTCCGTTTAAAAGACATTTTTTGTTAATTTTTAGGTAATTTAAATCCAAGACGTATTTATAATATATATATTTAACTTTTTCCCAATCTAACATGTTTATCTAAGTACACCTTTAAAATGAATCAATTACGCAGGCGTTCGGTGTGTTGTGTCAATGAGGATTTTTTTTTCGTAGCTGCAATGCTGTTTGCAGATGAGTCTATGAAGAGTGTATTAATCTAAATAATTAGTGAATTGCATATAATATATAATTAAATAAATAATTTTGTATCATTTCGATGTATGTTTGGATGAATCGGAGCATGAAAAACTGAAATGCGTGTTAGACAATCTACGTATATGTTATAACTTTATAAATTATTTCCTTTTGAAACCTTTCGTCCGCTCACATATATTACGTTATATAGGTAATATGTATATATATATACACTAACGATAAAATTTAATCAAAATTATTATATATATATATATATATATAAATCAGAATGTATCAACATATATATATGCACGAAAAACCTTTGACGGTAAAAGAATTATAATAAATAAAAAAAAAAAAACAAAAACCAGAACAGCAGAATACAATATTATGCTATCGCGGCGATGACAGCGACAGTGAACTATTGCAATTGCAGATTGCAGTTATACATAGGTACTTACTCGGGTAGGTACCGCTTACATACACGCTGCACACACAAAATATTATATTATAATGACGTGGCTTGCAGTTCGACGATGTGTATATGGGGTACACACGATTTCCCATACGCCGCCGGCCTACCACAATACGAGCACTTGTGGCGGTAGTACACATACTTTTTTTTTAATATAATATAATATATAATAATATTATATATTGTTTTTTATGTCGTCCTAAAACAATAGCGCTCAGCCGCCGCGTGTTTCCGGTGTCGACGACGATAATAATATTATTATTTTACACGCACACACACATATATAACTAGGTACTTACCCTAAACATATACACCATATATATACTATATACATCATACGCTTATACTATATAACATACGCGTATTATATTATTTTTTATACCTGCGAGTATGGATAGAACTGCAGCGGGTCGTATACTTGCAGACATATAAATAATTTAATATATATATATATATATATGCGTGTGTATGTACATACTTCCTGTGTATGCGCTGCAGCAGGAAGAAACGCAATTTCGGTACGATCAATTGTCCTTGTAAAGGACATATGGTAAGCACTACTCCGCGATTATAATATACATACGCGTCGCGTCAGTACATAACAAACGTACAGTGGCGTAGTTATGTATAGGTGGTATACATTGTACGGTTGCAGCCGTCTGTCCGAAATAACTGTTTTTTTTGTTTTGTTTTTTTGTTTTTTTTTTTTTTTTTTGTCTAACGTTCGTTCTAAAGAGAATAATAAGACGCGTCGTCTAGTCGTCTAGTCGTCTACCGCGATACGCTTGCAGAGAATGCAACAGTTACTATTTTTAAGGGGCATTGTATAGGCAATTTACAAAAATAGAAAAATCAGGTTAATAATATTATGTTCTTGAAAGACAACTTCGACAACAAAACTATTTGGAAAACTCACAAAAAAAACTCAGCCTCTGAGTTGAAACAAACGCAACAAATGTATATACTATTGTTTTATATAAAACCAAATACATTTACTTAAAATTTATTTGCAATTAGTACCAACGCGTTCTAGTATAACATTTTGTAGATACAAAATGCAGACACAAATAAACATGAATATTTTTATTTTTATCGAGATAAAGTCATGGAGATAAAATATACACATTATTTTTATTATTAAATTTTAAGGCTTTAAGTTGGTACGTATAGCCAAATTCATAAACTATACTATAAACAGCAGTACCTAACTTAGTTGGAATTATATTTTACAACTTAAGTACTTAATCTATGTACATAAGTTTAAATTTTCAAAAGAATGGTGTTCTTTTTATTCGAAAAAAAAATGTTATTTTTTGCAATGATACGGGCTGACGTGACCAGTTTTCTAGCCACTACCCAATGTTTTAAATTTTACGGGAGAAGAACGTCGTACAAATTTCAAATATACGTTTGTAGATTTACGGGCATGATTTGCATCATTTTTGTAAAACCATCTTTTTGAAAATCTTAATTTTTACCTGGATAAGGTTGAAAATATGCATTTTTGGTCACTTTGTGTAATTTTTATTTGACGGGAAAAGGAGGTATTAATTATATAATATGTAATAATAACTATTCTAATTTTAAGGAGATAAGTTATCTCAAAAAACTACCCTTCTTATGGGCACGCCACTGATATATGTATCAAGAGCCTTGAAGACGTCAAATCTGCATGTGTCATCTCTGTCTTACTAATATATCTACAACAAATTTGTATTCAGCAGTTCTAATTTTGTGTATTAAAATTAAATAATAGAGAGAAGTAGACGATTATCAAGCTTATAGGCTACGGGTAAGATTATTTTTTGTATTTTAGCATAAGCGTTTTACGATATTTTAATTTTTACCGACTCATAAATATCAAAAATACTCATATCTTAATTAAAAATTAAAATACTTGTTCTAAAGTAAGAAAATTTAAAATTACGAAGACACTTTTATTTATAAACTTATTTTTGTTATATATATATATATGTATGTTATGTATAATATATATTACACAATATCCAAAAGATAACTCAACAATAGGTCCAAATAATGGATTTGATGAATTCGTAAGATCTAAATTTGGAATGTATTGGAAAATACTGTATTATATCGATGGGAATATGGGATGATTAGTAGTTATAGTAATTAGTAATTACAAATTAAACGAAAGTATTAATTAATTAATTTAAGTATATTTTAAGTATAGAAATCAGAATATAATTTTTAAAAATGTTGATGCTGATTGAGGTCTATGGTGCGAAGTTGTAAACACTTAAATTTAAACTCGTTTATATCTATAAATTATTTCAATTTAATAATTTGTACTAAATTTATAATTTGCATTTGTATTTTTGTAGGTAGTAAATGTACACTCCAAAATAAGGGATGCGACGTTGGAAGACGATCCGTTTGTGTTCTCCTCGACCAAAAAATGTTATCTCTTTTCTTTTGTCATAAAATTGAATCTTCAGCCCGGGTACTACAATGGCATTGTCCTAAATAATGAAATCGAGGAGAGGTAATGATACGTCATCATTTATGGGTGTCAGGGCGACTCAACTTAATCAGAGCCACCCTGAAGCAATATATACTCAGTAATTTGCTACCTCTTATCAAGGAGCTATCAAAAAAATTATAATATACCAATTTCATGCATAATAAATAATAATACTTCATGAATTGGTATGTGAAATATCCAAATCCGGTCCTAGGTGAAGGTATTTATTAATAATTACAAAAACCGTCGGATGTCATTAAGTTACCTATAATATCAAATGCATCATTTATAATAGGTATTATGAATAATACCTATTCAGAATTCAAATACTCACATTAAAATTTAGAGAAACAATATTACCACTTACCAGCAATTCCAATATTGACACGATAATACGATACTCAAACCAATTAACATATTCGGAATTCGGATAATCCTTTTGCCGTCTTAAATTAAATAATTTAAAAAACAACTAAAAATGTAGAACATCGTCATACTATGCAGTTAGCGAAAACATTAAACTACAAAACAAAATACCTAACGCCATCTCTCGACAAGAGTGAATTTCGTGTGCATCGTGAAGTTTTAAAATCTAAACTATGACAACGTTAGCAGACGATATTTACATCGTAATCCGAACCAGTTGACCAGAAAACAAAAACGGGTAGTACTTACTGGTATCACTGGTATTAGTGATGTCATGTGGACATTTATGTGTCATATTCCTTTAGTAAATTTTACGATTTTACGCATTTACGGTCTTTGATTTCGGATTTATACATTTTTATTTAAGTGTTAGCAAAAAGGTACCTCGGATAAAATCACAAGTATGCTAAAATATAAAACTCTATTTTAGAATTGAGAGATCATACCAGAGTTAAGCATAATAGAAACTCTTGGAATGTTTATTGGGTAGGTATCTAATAATTGTAAAGGTACTTTAGTTCAGCTTTTAACAGATTACTTTCAAAAGTTTACCTGATCTTATTGAATTATTAAGTATAACTTAACACAGGTAATCAACATATAATAGAAACAATCTTGATTTGTCACATTATTGAATAGATGTTGCATGTTGTCATTATCTTACCAAAACCTCTAACAACAATACCATTAAATCAATTACATTATTAATTATTATTAAAATGACGAGATCAATGGTTAAATCTATATGAAGTTCCCTTTAAGATGGTTCTTAAATTTAATAATAACCCCCTAACATTTTAACAAACAATTAATGCATTGTTTACCATCTTTAATTATATTTTGTGCAGTTATATATTATTCAACATTTATTTACATTAAGAAAATTAGCAAAATTAAAACATTTTTATTCATCTGATTTCTTAACAATGAATAACATAATAATATTAAATAAACAATACAATTTGTTTTTAACAAACATAAACTGTATAGTTTTGTTGTTATTTGAGACCAATACTATGTGATGTAAAGTTTTTTTAAGTTTCTGAAGCATCTTATTTTGCAACAAGCTCTTACCACAAAAACAAAAAACATACAATATTATATACATATGAACTGGAAAATCATTTTCTAACCACCACAAATGTTTTACATTTTCAATCATAATTATAACTATAATTAGTTGATAAAATTAACAAACATTTCTATGATATTTAAATAGCTTAACAAATATACATTTACATATTTAAATAATAATGGACATCTATCACAGATAAATATTTTTATGCGTTAAAAATAAAATAAAGTAGAAAAGTTTAATGATTAAAGTATTTCCTACAAAGTATAAATAATTGGTAGGTATTGAGAAAATTAATCATAAAACAATTAACAAGAAGAGAAATATTAACATAAAAAGCGGTTTAATTGGTTATAGGGTATCGCATTTAAATGTTAAAAGAGTTGTATAAAATTAGTCGTAGAACCATCTCGCCACGCAGGATCATCAACGAGTTTTGCTCGACATAGTGGACATGTTTGCTCACGATCAAACCATTTGGCCACGCAAGCTTCACAGAATATATGTTGGCATTGTAACAAAACAGGTGTAGCATACTCATCATGACATATCGGACAATTGCTGCCAGCTATTGTCAGCTGTTCTTTGTTCGGCACTGTGCCCAATGCCTAAAATTTATAATAATTTTGTTAGATAAGTTAACTTATTAAATAGTAATATATTTTTGTGATAATTATTAAAATAACATTATTCCATTATATGAAAGAAAATAATAGAATAACTGATTAATAGAAAAAACAAATTTAATTTTTAAGAAAAAAACATTTAGTTGGATAACGTACGATATTTACTTATCATGTATTTTCTTCCTACCACTCTACAAAATACAATAACCTAAGAAGAAAATCATTGCAACATTACAAAATAGCTATTTTTAAACAACAACCTAACAGATTTCCATTAAAATTAATTATTTTTAATAAGGACAAGTACTTGATAATTTCATGAAAAAAATAAAATGTAATAGACAATTTTTATTTCAAAAAAATCTCTAAGACTAAGCATTATAAAAACATTAACAATGTGAGTTTGTATAATAAAATGAAACATTTATAATTTTTGTAAATAGTCTATATAATAATCTATGTTTTAATAAAAATAATAATAAATTATGTAAGAATGTGACCAACGACTGTATTAAAAACTTATTACCATGATAATGACATAACTACATTAAGTTATAAATTTTAATAAACTTACAACATTCTGAAGCAATTTGTATGAGGCCGTCCACCATAGTTTCACACAACCCATTAAATCAGTACCTTTTGACACCATGTAAGCAGCAGATAAAAAGACGCCAATAACCTTTTTTGGACCCTGATAAGATTCTAACATATAATACAACCATGGTTGGATAGGCACACAACACCGATATAATTGAGATGTAGCTTCAATGAACAGGTACACTTTTCCCTAAACAAAAAATAAAAGAATACATTTATTTATTTTAAATAGTCAAAATTTGAGACCAGAATTATATGCACTAATAATGTGACAAGTATAATGTAAAGCAAAAGGATCAAAATATGTATTAATATGCACAAATAATTTAAAAATATGCTCAAATATGCATCATAAATTTATACTGTTTTAAAACAACAAAAATATATTAAAATAAATATAACAAAATTAGAAGTGTTGGACTTTTCAACATCTAAGTATATCAACAAAATATTTAAATAAAAAAAAAAACATCATTATATGTTTTTAAACAGCTTAAACAAATGAAATATAACAATATTTGCAGTGTTGTCAATAAATGAATGCTAAATCTTTACACAACTAAAAAGTAACTTTAAAAGTAATTTAATTTGTCAGATAATAGTTTATCAACACATTATCAAACTAGAGAAGATAAAATTCTATATTATGTTGATGGTAATTTTTTTTTCTCGCTAATATGGCAGTATTTAAAAATTACAATTTCCAAAATAAAAACATAAAGTAATTTAATTATTTACTAAGATTGTAAAAAATATGCACATAATATACACTATGAAAAAATGTACCCCAAACCTCGAAAAATATGCCATTATATACAAATTTAAATTTAGTCTATGGAATCATTTGGATCTAAATCGCCCACATTTCAAACCTTTGTATAAGTTCATACACTCATTATGAACATGCAAATACATAAAATTCTGGTCTCTAATCATAATATTAAAGCTTACATACTCGTTTAATTATTGGTAAAATCTTAATAGGCATCATAATAATAATTATTTTAAAAATAATTGTTATTAATTTTAAAATGTAATCATCCACTGCTATAGACCATAACAGACTACTAATTGTCAAAGACTGTGTGAACGGAGGAATAAATATCAATCTGGAATTATAAACATAGTTTATCAATTGTACTATAAATCTATATACAGATTTAGTTTTTATATAAGTTATAATTACCCAAAATGTAAGTTCATGTCATTGTAAAAGAAGTAGAATAAAAATACAGACATTGCCATATGACAAATGGCAAACAGTAAAAAGCCAATACTGCGCTGTGATTGTTTGGCCACCTCACGCTTTACCACATTGTTGAAGTAACGAAATGAAATAAAGAGCACCAAAAAGAGTAGAATAGCTGAAATCACAAGATACATACAAGCACGTTCGTTAGTCGAACCTTCAGGCCATATATCTTTTTTAGTCATGCTTACACAAACAGGTGAACAGAGTAGCTGTTTAATTTACCTGGAATATGGTCGAATACAGCTTTCGATAAAAGTATCAATAAGAATGGAATGTATTTAAGAGCTACACTCAGCATTTGAGCGATTTCTGGGTTGTGTCGAAGAACATCGTCTTCGCTTTCTGAAAAAGAATAAACAATATAATTCAATGATATATTTTCATATGATAAATAGGTATTAAAGTTATAAAATTATTAAATACAATTTTCTTCAGAAAATAAAAATGTTAAATACTTGAATGTAGACTAACCAATTTTGAATAAAATATTAAGTTTTAAAGTATTTAAAGGTACTTTGTTTAGGATATTTTAATGATGTATAATGTATACAACTAATTTATATATAAGATTTCAAAAGAACCAAATAATATTTGCAATAGTTTAAAACATTCATGTTTTCAAAATAAAAAAAAAATTTTAAATTACACAGTCCTGCGACTACTTTGCTGTTTTAACATTTTGCACTTATATTTATAGATTTTAACAGGCTGAATTCAAATATGTAATCATTTTTTCTCTAACACGTCTAGTTTTTCTACAATTTGAATTTTAAATATTGTATTTTCTGTACAGTCATACAATAATATGCGATATATTCCCAAGTCGAATTATTATTATTAACTCATTATGTAGTATACTTTACTGAAACTTTAATCTTATCTTTATTAAATTGTTTATCTTATAGTAGTTCAATTAAATATATTTTTAAACTCATACAATTGATGTTTATTCTTTATAGTTACGTTTATTTTTTTTTAGTATGACGTCTAAAAACATTAAAGAAGATGTTGAAAAATAATTCAAATTTATTTTGTTAAAAATGTATACCATGAATATTTTGGTATTTATTTAGGAGATCAAGATAAATTATGAGTACCCCATAATACTTGCTGATCCTGAGTTAAAAGTTTGCGAAATTGGTAACAAGGTCAGCGTTTATCAATGCCTTTTGGAGTACAATGATTTAGTGAAAACCGAAAAATCATATTGACGATTGCTATTTTTGTATTGTAGATATTTTCGGTTATAATAAGAAAAATAAATCAAAGCTGATTTACCCAAATTTATCTTCTGCTTTACGATCAATACCACATGGCCCAGAATTACCAATACCTGTACCGTCAGAAACCTTTGAAACTATTTTAAATAACAATACTTCTATAGATTCCGATGATAATCTTAGTAACAATGATGAAGATTTTCAACTTGACATCACAGATGCTTCACAAATTTTGATCAATTTGAATTAAATAATTTAGTATTACTAAAGAGGCAGCTGAAATTTAGGTTTGAGACTCAAAGAAAAAAATTTACTTACAATAGGTACTACTTTTTATTGGTACAGGAATTTACACAAATTTCAGATTTGAATTTTGCGCATTAAGATCTATAAGAATCAAGTATTATTATAAAAAAAAACAAAAAAAAAATAAATATATTTTGCAGGATTGTGTTATCAATGAGAAAAAAAAATAATAATAGTGTATGCTACTGCTTCAGTATAATTTGTGTATAATGTATTGATACATTGTGACATTAATTATAAATAAATTTTAATAACAATGCTTAAAAATTAATCTTAACCTTTTATTTCAATAATGACAGTAATATTCAATAAATTATGTATTATACTGTTTATATTTAAAGATTTTGTATTTTAAAATTTCTATTATTTTACATTTAATTTAAATATTCTATAAATAATTTTAAAATATTCAAGTACTTAAAAAGTTAAGTATTTTATTAATTGGTTTAATTATAAATTTACTAAATGTCAAAAACTTCAAAATCAATATAATTATGATAGTAATTAACATACCAATATTGTTAATGAAACTACTAATTTAAATTAAATTATGTGGCTTAAAATCATTTTAAAATAAATACTAAATAATTAGGGATAGTTACTAAGAAAAATTATACCTGCAGAATATTTAAGTATAGTTAGAATTAATGTATAACCCAAATAACTTACGGTTTTCATTGTTATTATTATTAGATCCATTAATTGAGGATCCTCCTGGACTTTGAGGCAACTGTTCTACATTTAAATCTGAATTTGATAAATTCATATCTATTGCTACATCATCATTTGGTTCAGTAAGTGATCTTTGAGTAGTTAAAGGCAGTCTTTGTGATACTGGAGTTGTTGCAATAGGTCTAACCTCTCCTATAAAAATCAAAGGGTTTACTATTAGAAAATAATTCACTATAAGTTATTATGATACAGATAATACCTGTAGTTATGAAGTTTTGGTCTTCTGTTTCTGATAGACTGGGTGGAGATAGAGGTAAGTGAGCATTGTTGGTGTTCAAATTCAACCAGGTAGGTAAACTCAGGCGTACAGAAGAACTGGGACCAAGTGGTTGTGGCGACCCAGGATCAGGATGTCGTGCCACTGATATTATAGGCCGTAGTTCTTCAACTACATTGTGCACATTGCTTCTTAACATGGCTGAACCTTCAGCTGCTCTACGTTCAATGTGCATCATAAGATCGGCCGCAAGGCTCATACGGCGACTAGCAACTGGCACTGCCGCTCTACTATCTGTTTCCGATTTGTGAACTTAAAGACATTTGATAATATATACAGACAAACTTATTGACGATTACCATTATCAGGTGCTGCAGTTCCAGGTTCATCATTGAAATTGGACATTGTTAAAATTTAAAATATAAACAATTTACGATATTATTTAAATATTATTTCATCGAATTTATGATCCTCATTATATTATTTGTTACACCAGAGAACAAATGAATGACACATTATCCAATATATATATATATATTCGGGATTATAATATTGTAAACTAAACGTCTGAATAAAATTAAATAACTAAGTAAATCGACTTTAAAATACGTTTATTCGTCATAAGCAATGAGTTAATGAGTTGTGAGTGTTATGACATCATTATTACAATTTTTTTCTTATCAATTATATTACTGATACACATATGTTTTTACTATGATTTTTATCATTCAAGGTTATTTGAATAAAAAGAAACAAAAACATACTGTATCAAAATATTAAATACGTATTAGATAGGCTTGCATGTTTTACTGTTTATTGTTTAAGGGCTACAGAGTTACAAACTATAATTAAATACCTATTTCAAATTCGAAAAATAATTATTTAAAAACCGAGGTTAATTACTCTATTGTACAATTATCGAGTACTCGAGTGTACCTCCGACTATTTCGTCTATGTAATCAATAATCATAATAATAATTGTAAGAAGTGTGATGTGTTTGAATTCAATAATAAATCAGTAATCACTACTCATTATTTACTTACTTAAAAATTAATAACGATTCTAAGAGAAGATTATCTGTCAATCTTAACTCTTAAAGATGTGATCAAGAGCATGTATACGACAAGAAAGGGTGTTATGTGAATCAGGTCCTGTCCTTATTTTTTTTATTTTTGCTTAATTCAAAAAAATGAAAATTCAGTAAATTTCAAACAATATCTGAATATCATTATAATTTATAAAATATAAAAAAAATTACAATTATAACTTTTGATCTCCGGAGGACTAAGAATATATTTCTATAACCCTTGATTCGAAAATTCGAATAAATCTATAGGAACGTTGAATAAATCCTGACAATGTATCAAACAAATCCAACTAAAATATATATATACATGGACAGAAATATCAAGTGATTATCAGTAAAATACTATTTTTTAGAAAATGTTAAAAAGTACAATATCATTGTTTGTATTTATATAAAAAATACACCTATTTATTTATTTGTTATTATTTTATTAATGCATATTTCATGTATCATACAAAAATATTCAATACGATGTATCATTATATAAATTTAATTATGTACCTACAACTCTTATTCTTTCTATACAATTAATATAATCTAATTACTGATTTTACCTTGACAGCCCTCAGATCCACGATTGTACCTATATAAAATAAATTATATGACATGGAAAAAAAATATTAAATAAATAATTTTAATTTGAAATATGATAGTTAAAACAAACACATTTTAGTTGTATATACTGTACTTTTACTAAATAAATTACTAAAATTAACAAATTATAAGTTAGTTACAATAATTTATTCTATTCAACTATAAAATATTGTCAACATTTTATCACCAAATAAAAATAGTTAATATTGCAATCATCTAATATACTCGTATAGTACCTAACGTTATCTAAAATTATTCACAAATACGAATATTTCGTAATCATGATGAACTAATAATTACATTAAACGATCAGACTATTGTTCATTTATCATTCATGCAGGTACATTTATATAAATGTAGTGACTTTAATCTCACACAGTCTACAAAATAGAATGCTTTTGTTAGATGAAAAAATATTTTTTTCTAATTCCAAAACATATTTACGAATAGATTTAGTGTTTGGCATTATTTTTAATTAATGTACAAACACGAACTATGACAAAGCAAAGTCATACAAAAACTAAAACATCATTAGTTTTACATTATTGGCATTATAGTCGAAGTACCTATTTACAGGAATCTTTATCTATTATAACGAGCTTAAACGGTAATACAAAAAACAATTATTATCAAAATTATTTAGCCGAAATACTGGCTAATGAAAGTTTTAAGATAATTGAAATATACATGATTATTGATAGTTCGTGGGGAGGTTAATTCTTCGGCCTTCGCGGCGAATAGTTTGGTATAGCGAAATGATTATGGTAAAACGGTCCAGTAGTAAAATGTCCGGGTTCGGGTTTTACCCAATACAATTCTAATATTCGGCACCTACTTACCTCGTACTTATTAGTTATTATTAATTATTCGTGTCTAAACGTGAGGTGTTGGACTTTGTGCATAGTAAAATTAAAAATTAAATCGTCACGTTTACTCATTGACTTAAGGGAATTGTTAGTTGTTTACCACGGTGAAACAGAATATATGTAGTTAACTAACATAGAAAAGATAGTTGGAGAGAAACCAAGGGATAGAATATTATGATGTCAATACTTAGTACAAATTTCAAGTCATTACAATTATTAAAACTGTGGATTAGCGTAAATATTTCTGTTTGAATATCTAACCTATTAATAAAAATAATCAAATTAAAAGTTGAAGATTGAAACATTTTTATTGTTCCAATAGGCAACAAGTAATAACTACAGACACAAATAATAACTAAGACATTCATCAATTAGTTTAAAATCGAACATACATAAGTAGTAGGTATTTAGGTCCTAAGTCACTGTATATAATACATATTACTAACACAGTAACATGTAGTCTACATGATGTAGAATACCTACATTAGTAGGACTAAACATAAACACAGACTATACAGTCACAGCTAATAGGCAATAACAAACGAAATAGTTGTGATCGTTTTCGGGATCAAACAGGATACCTATGTTAAAATTTGGTCTACATAAAAAAATTTCATAAACACCCCATTTCATGCTATACATTTCCAAAGTTGCAACAGCCAGACAATAGTTGATTTATGGATCTCAGGTACCTATGGAGAAAGAGGATCGGGGTAGTCATCACATGTATAAGGAAGCCCCAGTACCTACAGCATATTCAGGTATACCAGAGGCCAGAGCCATCAAGTCTACGGCACCTTTATGACCCAAACTTTTGTACACTTCATAAAACTAACTTGTGTTAATTAAATAGCGGTTTTCAATTACAACTTACTAACCAATCACTTCGAGTCCACGACTTGAAGAGACAGATAGAGCTATAGAAAGCATATAGATATAGACACCATATCCTTTTACAAACTTAATGATTAGGTATATTATATTATATTGCAACAATAATTGGGTAATACATGGTAATGGTAATTGGTAAACATAGGTTATATTATACAGTTAACCTAGTGCATTAAACCATAATGTTGCATAATGTTAGTGTACCTATTAAAACTAGGTAGGTATAGGATTAATTATTTCATAATAGGTATAAAGAATTATTTACTGGTATTTATACATAAATATATATTATATTATGTGGACAATGGTTAAAGATGCTAAAACAGAAAGAAACACGTGAAACAATAATCCGCTTTATAGATTTTTGTACAATATTAAATTATTCTATAAAACAAATTGAAATTGTTGCATCATACAAAATATTAAAGAATTACTATTTATTCTATTTACGTACAGGTACCTATAATCAAATAAAAATTGAACTATGATACTGTAAGTATGCAGTAACTAAATATCGATTAAATGTAAAATAACTTATTAATTTATTATCGTTGTAACTTATTATTAATAGATATAAAAAATATTAAAACTGATAACAATTACATGCATAATATGCCATATACCTATCGTATTATTTATTTATATGATGCCATATAAATGTTCGTAGGAAACTTAATAAAAAATTAATTAAAATATACACCTAGGTGTATACTGTGTATAGCAGATGTTGTATGCGATATACTAATATACTTATTGTATTATAAAATAATTGTCATAACTTACACAAACACAAATGTGCTCAACGTAACTTAGATACTTCCTGTTACATCATGTGTGTTAACTTTTAGTTATCAACAACTCGTTGAAGGTTAAACCAGCCGTGTTGCGCCTATGGGTAATAATATTAATCGTTAGTATCCATAAAGTACAAACAATTAACGTATTTCATAGTCTCTATAATAATATGCACTTGCGTAGATTGTTAAGCATGTAATCAGCTTTAGAATAGCTCAAAATTTCAAAGCTTAGTGTAATCTTTATTTTATTCTATATAACTATTTTAAGCGTTCCATGTGACTTTAAACAATTTAATTATATTTATTACTTAGAATTAAAAAATTTTAAATTTATAGCTTTATACCTACATTGTCGCAACCGATGGTGAACAATGCTTTAACTATTAATTACCTAGTATCTACTTATAATACTAAATTAGTATCCGTTTATTAATTTAATTTACATAAAACATTTTGCTTAATATTTTATTCATTCCAACTTTTGAATTCTTTACACCAACATCTTCAAAATTAGAATTGTGAAATGATTTTATATAAAAATAATAAATCATTAATAATTCCTTAGAAGTATTTTTTAAATAAAACAATTTCAATAATAAAATAAAAAAATTAATTATATTTTCTTTAAGATATACATTACACACAATACATACATTTTATATTAACACCAATATGTAAAATAATAAAATAAAATAAAATACTTGTAATTATATTACATAATAAAAAGTAATATTTGAACATATGGCATAGTAAATTATATTATGATATAAAACTTACGATAGTTACAAGTTATTATTTATATCATTAAAATTTAACATTTATAACATTTATAACAATTGAATTGTTAATAAATCTAAAAAAAAAAAAACACTATTATTATGATAAGTTTTTCGTACATCTAATAATGTTTATATATATATATCTTAAAATGCTCTGGATAATTTATGTCTATAGAGGCCATGTTAGCTAAAATAATTTAATAAAGTCAATTGCTTTATTATTTAACACTTAAATCAATATTTATATTATAAACAATTATTAGTCTACCAATATTCGTCGAGTTTTAATATATTAAAAAAAAAATAGTATTCCTTATTTATTGAAAAATACATATAAGTTAAAAAACTGAACTAAACCGTATCACCGCTAGTTTCAAAAAAAGTCATACA